TAACTACCCAGCAGTATTAGTAGTAGTGGGCCCTGTATATATATAGTGACGGTTGAATAGTGCCACTCACAGCAGTCCGCCGGTATAGTACTGTAGTGCCGATCAAATCCCAGGACACATTAATTACATGATGATGAGTGTTCACTCCCATCCACCGCCGTGTATATATATATCCCTCCCTCCCTCCCTGTTCTGAATAGTGCCGGCGGCCCTGTCTAGTGCCGGTACAACCTCTGGACACAACATACCGGCACTAGACAGGGCCCACTATAATAATAATACTGCATGCATTATACACACACACGCGTCTAACTATGTATTGTATGTATGTATTTGGTTGTACACTACGATACTAAAGCCAATACAATAAGGAATATAGAGATTTTCCTATACCATACTAAATCCTATACAATAAGCGAACTGAACAAACTGGATTAAGCGCCCGAAAAAATGGGGCGGGGGGGTGGGGCGGGGGGGGTAGCAGTACGTCCAGAACTTGACTCCGCGAGCCCTCTTGAAGGAGGGCATTGGGTTCTCAGCGGTTGCGTATGATGTACCTACCGAGGTGTGTTCGCGCGCGAAGAATCGCCTTTTGTTGTTTTCTTCATCGCTGACTTGAGAACTGGCACGGCGGTCGATGGTGCTTTGTGGCTCTGGTTGCCCTCAGGCGCTGACGCTGGCGGCGAGAGGAGGAGATTGGAGGGCCGCGAACCCTTGCTGTGGCGTCACCCTGCCGCAGCTCGAGCTGTTCCTCTGTCTGCCGACGTTCTTGTTCAGTCTCGTGAGGTGAGTGAGCAAGCTCCTCGTCAGGTGGCGTGTGGAGGTTCAAACATCAATAACAAGCTTGACAAGTTCCGTTTTAGATTTTGGGATTCATGCACAGTGGTAGCGGCTATGGTTTATTAGAGATTTTTGAGAGAAAACCGTATTTAAGAAGTGGTATGCATATGTTGTTGGCTTGTCCCGACCCTCTCTTTAACCGTAGTCACTACCGTACCGCTCTTGCCAGTATTGTCTGCAGCTCCCGGTTTACGAGAGTGCGTGCTCGCTGCCATCACTCGCGTTTGTTCTGGACTGGGGCGTAGTTTACATGACAAGCAGCGGAGCGAGTAGTTCCGTTGTTTGTCGATTTTGGACGATTCAATCGGATCTCGATGGATGCCCTGTGGTCCTTAGCTGCTCTGCCGTTGACGTTACGTTGTTCGTCTCAAGCGTCGTCTCATCGATCACTGCATGATGACGCTTCGACGTTGCATTGTACTCACCTCGAGACTTAAGTGAGTCTAATGTTGCGTGTTCTTGCTCACACGTACTCAATGTCACCCTTAAACTAGCTCGTGGCCACAAGCTGAAGATGCGTGCGCGTGTGAAGGTGGCTCGTGCGGTGTCTTCCCAGGGAGTCAACGCACAGCTGTGGTCAATCGCTGTCGGCCCAAAGAACACCGGCACCGGGTTGTCATCTCCCGCCAACTCTCTCCCCGCCGCCGCATTTCCTCCCCATTCCAATGCTGACCAATGTTGCAATTGTTCTCCCGTCTGTGTCGTTGCGTGGAGACAGTGGGCTGCTTCTCCGCTTCCCTCCGATGCTCGCACCCGCGATGCAGGCAGACTTGGCGGACGGGCGGGATACGAGCGTGGCGTGGACACTGGAAGAGATCGTCCGCATAGGTTTGTTCGCGTTTCTCTCCTTTTGAATCAGCTGTGGCCGATCAAAAGACGACAAAGGTGTCAGCGGGCGAAAGCCTAGGCTCCCCGAATGCGGCCGAAATTTCAAAAGTGGGCAAAAAATCTGTGTGTGTATGAGTGTGTGTGTGTTTGTTTGCTAACGTCCACCGCGCTGGCCGACTGATGAATGAAAACAACACCAGTTTCGGAGTGTGTGGGCATCGACTCCGCTCTTGTTCAACGGGGTATATACCACCGATGTACCGCTCAGTTCTTGGTGGTGGTCAGCTTGCGTTGCTATCGATATTGGCGGTCGTTTGTTGCCATCGGCCAAGCACAAGCAATCAGCTTCCACGTATGTAACACAAGCAAACATGCTTTCACGTTTGCTTTCCCCTCTCACGTCTCCTCAATCGACTCCTTTGCTCTTATCGCTCGCAACCACGTGCACCCATTTTTCGTCATATTTTCCCTTTTGAACCACGCAGCGGACAAGCACAAGGGGTCTGCGCCGGCTTGTCGTGCCGTTTTGTCGGCCGTGAAAAAATGTGTCTCAGACGGCGACGGGGTTCCCAGCACGCGGCCGCGGGATCTCCCTTTCGTGAGCGAGTTGCTCTCAGGGGGCTCTGACAGCTCGCGAGCGTTAAATCGAAAGGTGCATGTTGTGGTTTCACGGCTGTTTTGTGAGTTCTTGGTGGGGCATTTACTATTGGTGCCAGTTTGTTCTAGCTCCTGATTCCTGTCGTCGAGGGAGACGTTGTTTGTGTAGGATCGATCGGTGTTTTATTCCTGTTTTCCTGGACCTTTGTCCATTATTGCATTTTCACCCTCCTCCTTTCTGTTCTCCGGGCTACACCCGTTTCGTGCCATAACCACCTCTTTCATATATCGAAGCTCACCGCCCTCTCTCTCTACGCCCCCCCCCCCCCCA